ATATGAACTCTACTACATCTGCCCAATGGATCGCTAGGTCTAAAGATGAATCTTTACTTACTTTTAATTATGACTTGACCTAAAATGTCAGCAGTCTTATTCTCTTTAGTTAATCAAACACAGGCGACGATCAAACAATAGACATCATGTAGGACTTTACTACAGAATGGCGTAACTTTCTGTAGCAGGCGATGTTCAAACAATAAACACGTCATGTAGGACTTTACAGAATAGTTGAACTTTTTGCTAAACACAAGAACTAGGTTTTATCAATCCCTTGTCAAAAGTTAAGACAATGACGAAACACAAGATGTAGGTTTTATCAATCCCTTGTCAAAGATTACAGTGTTAAGACAACGCAAAGACACAAGATGTAGGTTTCATCAATCCCTTGTCAAAGGTTACTATGTGAAGACAATGACAAGACACAAGATGTAGGTTTCATCAATCCCTTGTCAAAGGTTACTATGTGAAGACAATGCCAAGACACAAGATGTAGGTTTTATCAATCCCTTGTCAAAAGTTAAGACAAAGTCGAAACACAAGAAGTAGGTTTTATCAATCCCGTGTCAAAGGTTACAGTGTTAAGATTATTTCCTACTGGTTAAAACAAGTTGTGTTTCTCTAAGGGTTTCTAAGACTGTTCTTAATTGCATCTATTTTCTTAATTAATACCATCGAATGTGGACTGGTTTCTATTGTGACTTGTAGAAGATGTTGCAGATAGTAAGACGTAGGCTATACCAAATATTAATATTTAAGTTAAATAAATATGAAATGCCGCACAACTTCATGATATACAAGCAGTCATTAATGTGAGATATTGTCTAAACTACAATATAGAAAAACAAATCTGTTATGGTGAGTGTATTTAGGCAAATACTTTTTAATAATACAACTAGAATATATAAATAATCCATAGTCACGTAGCTTTTTAATATTAATTTAGTGTGTGTTTTGGTGAGAAAAAAATTAGTTCAAAATCATTATTTTTAAACCTATTCGCTCAACTATTTTTAAAAGAAAGTCTAGCATGAGGGGAAATAACCAGCTAAAACATATCTTTAAAAAACTATTTTCTTACTTCCCTTAGTATTGTTATTGGAAGGAACCTATCTAAAGTGTAGGCTTATTTAAAGTTAACATTAATGTACACAAAACAAACCAACACGTTTTTTTGTAAATAATTTTTAAACGGTTAGTTAGCTCAACATAACCGTTTTAGTTGTGTTAATATTTTAAAAAGCCCCCTGCTCTTTAACATTGGCTATGTGATCTATTTTTTTCCATTAACAATTTGGTTGAATGCGTGGTAGTGATGTCTTCGTTAGGTAAACAATTTGGTTGAATGCGTGGTAGTGTTGTCTTTGTTAGGTAAACAATTTGGTTGAATGCGTGGTAGTGTTATGTCTTCGTTAGGGACACAAAAATCTCAGGTGATCACGTGACACATTTAGCATGTATTATGTGTCGACCAGTGCGTGTAGACTCTTCGGTTTTATGTAAACTAGGTCACTCTATTTCAAGGCGTTTACCTACGTGTGTGAGTGGGGCTACGATATGGGGACTGTTTGTAGGACCAGGACATGGGGACTGTTTGTATGACTAGGACATAGGGTTGTAGGACTAGGACACTGGGACTGTTTGTAGGACTAGGACATAGGGACTGTAGGACTAGGACATTGGGACTGTTAGTAGGACTGGGACATAGGGACTGTAGGACTAGGACATAGGGACTGTAGGACTAGGACATTGGGACTGTTTGTAAAACTAGGACATAGGGACTGTAGGACTAGGACATGGGGACTGTAGGACTATGACATAGGGACTGTTTGTATGACTAGGACATAGGGACTGTAGGACTAGGACATAGGGACTGTTAGTAGGACTAGGGCATGGGGACTGTAGGACTATGACATAGGGACTGTTTGTATGACTAGGACATAGGGACTGTTTGTATGACTAGGACATAGGGACTGTTTGTATGACTAGGACATAGGGACTGTAGGACTAGGACATAAGGACTGTTAGTAGGACTAGGGCATGGGGACTGTAGGACTATGACATAGGGACTGTTTGTATGACTAGGACATAGGGACTGTTAGTTGGACTAGGACATGGGGACTGTAGGACTATGACATAGGGACTGTTTGTATGACTAGGACATAGGGACTGTTAGTTGGACTAGGACATGGGGACTGTAGGACTAGGACGTGGGGACTACTAGTTGGACTAGGACATGAGGACTGTGAGTAGGACAGTGGGTCATATGCAGGACAGCACTGTAGACCAATTTTCCCTGTTAATATAAGCTTTGGTTGTGATTTGATTTCGTTGTTCCCTCCCCCCCCCCCCCCCCCCACTTCAACAGCTGATTGCCCATCTCAGGCCGGCTGACAGTTAGTTCATGTCAATCATTTAGTTTGGTTGTCAGTTGATTCGTGTCAATCATTTAGTTTGGTTGTCAGTTGATTCGTGTCAATCATTTAGTTTGGTTGTCAGTTGATTCGTGTCAATCATTTAGTTTGGTTGTCAGTTGATTCGTATCAATCATTTAGTTTGGTTGTCAGTTGATTCATGTCAATCATTTAGTTTGGTTGTCAGTTGATTCGTGTCAATCATTTAGTTTGGTTGTCAGTTGATTCGTGTCAATCATTTAGTTTGGTTGTCAGTTGATTCGTGTCAATCATTTAGTTTGGTTGTGAGTTGATTCGTGTCAATCATTTAGTTTGGTTGTCAGTTGATTCGTGTCAATCATTTAGTTTGGTTGTCAGTTGATTCGTGTCAATCATTTAGTTTGGTTGTCAGTTGATTCGTGTCAATCATTTAGTTTGGTTGTCAGTTGATTCGTGTCAATCATTTAGTTTGGTTGTCAGTTGATTCGTGTCAATCATTTAGTTTGGTTGTCAGTTGATTCGTGTCAATCATTTAGTTTGGTTGTCAGTTGATTCATGTCAATCATTTAGTTTGGTTCATGTGAAGAACGCTGACTGTTATATAAACAACATCCACGGCCTGGAGATCATGTATACCACAATTATGCAGACCACTATGGTTCTGATCAGCGACAACCACAATAATCACACAGACATCACACCACATACAACAATCACACAGACATCACACCACACACAATAATCACACAGACATCACACCACACACATCAATCACACAACCACATACACCCCACTCAAACACACAGACATCACATTCACGCACAAATAATCGATCACAAATTTGATATCAGTACCTCAATTCTCCGACATCTCCGTGGCTTTCTGTTAGTTTGTTTCCATCATAAAAAGCGCGCTACGCTTTCTCACGATGCAATGCCTTACAGCACACAGAAACGATTTACAGGTAAATTATTTATCATAGAATCCCACCATTACATTTTTTTTTGTTTTGTTATTTTTAGCTCTTCGATATTTTAAAATTCATCGCTTTACTTTTTCCCCAAAAGTTACGTAAAAATAAGCTGTGATTAAAATTAATTAAAGAAATTAATTAAAGAAATTAATTAAACAATTTAATGAGATGATATGGCCTAAGGGCATCCAAAGGTAAACTGTGTACTGTGGGTGTGTGGGGGTGTGTGGAGGTGTGTGGGGGTGTTAAAACCAAGTGTGTATTTTTTTTTACCACTAGAGAACAAAATTAACGACAACACAAGTTGTCCTGCTCTGGTATTACTAGTAAAAGATTTGACATTTCTCTCGGTTGTTTTTTTTTTTTCAATTTTTTTTTTAATTAGGTCTATTTCATTGGCAGCTGACAATATTTTCCTATTACATTTTTTTTAATTAACTCCTGCCCTAACGTAAAACTGAAAGCTATATTGTTATGATAAAAATGTGTCGGTCTTTAGGCTAGGCCTACAGCATGAGGAAAGATTGCTTCGGCTCATAACATCACAACGCAAAGATCACGGTGGAGGTAAATACAGGTGTATAATCAGCGGCACCAGGTGATACAGCTGCACGTGACACTGTCAGGTAAATCACGTGCACGTGCCACTAACCTGCACACAGCTACACACGTCCCTAGAGCTCACCTGACACGCTCGGTGGAACATTTTCACCTGACTGTATCACACCTACACCTGACTTACTGAACATTTTCACCTGACTGTATCCAACCTACGCCTGACTTTACTGAACATTTTCACCTGACTGTATCCCACCTACACTTGACTTTACTGAACATTTTCACCTGACTGTATCCCACCTACGCCTGACTTTACTGAACATTTTCACCTGACTGTATCACACCTACACTTGACTTACTGAACATTTTCACCTGACTGTATCTCACCTACGCCTGACTTTACTGAACATTTTCACCTGTCTGTATCACACCTACACTTGACTTACTGAACATTTTCACCTGATTGTATTCAACCTACGCCTGAATTTACTGAACATTTTCACCTGACTGTATCCAACCTACGCCTGAATTTACTGAACATTTTCACCTGACTGTATCACACCTGCGCTTGACTTTACTGAACATTTTCACCTGACTGTATCCAACTTACACCTGAATTTACTGAACATTTTCACCTGACTGTATCACACCTACACTTGACTTACTGAACATTTTCACCTGACTGTATCCAACCTACGCCTGAATTTACTGAACATTTTACTTAAATATACATTTTCATCCGTTAATATGTATCAATGTCTACCTTTGGCATTAAAATAAAACATTTTTTCGATCTTGCTACATCTGACCCAAGTAGACCTTTACTTTTTCACCTAACCTTGGTATAGATCTACATTTCGGCCAGGAAATTGATATACATTTTCACCTGACTTCAGTATATACTTTCACCTGACTCTGTTATAGGCCTCTACTTTTATCTACCTGTAGTGTACATTTTCACCTTACTAAAATACACTTTCACCTGTGCTACGGTTTCACCTGGAATCTGGCAACAGGTGTGGGGAGGGCCGGATGTGGAGTCTGGTACCTACACACACAAAAAAAACGGCGATAAAAAATATCAATATAGGTCAGTGAGCCCCGTGTCGTACCAGTGTGTAGCGCGGTTGGGGCCTGACTGGTCGCATTAAATGGTACCGTTCTCTGTGGTCTGAGGATTACTGGCTAAGTAGCTGACACGTTTCTCTCCCCGTTTGGTAAGTTATTTACAATGGTTATTTTTAGGGAAACGGAAGTCAGAATGGCATTTTTATTTTGATAATCCACAACTAAGTGAACTAAGTTTGACAGCCTTGAGTTGAGTTTAAAGATATTTAGCCTTGACCTTTTTAGCATATATAGGCGGAACAAATAACTACCATACAGTTGGAATACACAATACAACCGTGAAATGCGAGGCTAGGCCTATATGTTATTGATTATGGTGAATTTTACGAGCAACAATTATTTGTGCTATTTTTAGAATGTACTACTTGAGTGAGCGTAAACAGCAACCACGTGACATTGTTTACATTTTTTTAAAACTGGGAAATTGCGTGCTATGACCTCGTAGTTTCTCGCCCGAATGAAAACAATTTCTGTTTTCACTCCTCTGTGTGATAATCGTAATCTGTGTCACGTGATTTTGTCGTTGAAATTGTCAGATGCTAATGTGATGTGTGTTTGTAATGTGTATGTGATTTTATGGTGTGTTTTTGTGATGTGGTATGTGATAGTGTGAGTGAGTCGATGTGGAGTGTGTGATCGTTTGGTGTGTGTAGAATGATGTGGTGTGTTGTGGTGTGTGTGAGATAATGTGGTGTGTGATGGTAGGGCCAGTCTGCGAGCTCTTGACCATCTCACACAGCACTATGATTCTACTCCATCTGCCGCCATACGGCCTTGTGGATTAGACACATCCTCGATCTGACACGTTAGGTCAGCACACTGGTCAGCACACGTCTACACACAGCTTTAGTGCACAACACACAACCAACACGTCTTTACACGCTGCCCTAGTCCCCAACTCATTTCAACTATCTGAACACACCACACACAAGCCTCATGCACAGCTCTGCTAATCAATAAGGAAACTATTTGTGGATATGCTCTAGTTAACACACGTTCGTTTTGCCTTTCGTTGGGAACTGGTTGGTAAACTGCTGACAAAATCCTGGGGCAATTAACCGTGTGAACCACTTCAACACAGTAAACCCTTGTGTCACACATATGAGACAACACACCAGTACAGTAAACCCTTGTGTCACACATGACAACACATCAGTACAGTAAACCCTTGTGTCACACATGACAACACACCAGTACAGTAAACCCTTGTGTCACACATGTGAGACAACACACCAGTACAGTAAACCCTTGTGTCACACATGTTAGACAACACATCAGTACAGTAAACCCTTGTGTCACACATGACAACACACCAGTACAGTAAACCCTTGTGTCACACATGACAACACCAGTACAGTAAACCCTTGTGTCACACATGTGAGACAACACACCAGTACAGTAAACCCTTGTGACACACATGACAACACACCAGTACAGTAAACCCTTGTGTCACACATGTGAGACAACACACCAGTACAGTAAACCCTTGTGTCACACATGTTAGACAACACACCAGTACAGTAAACCCTTGTGTCACACATGACAACACACCAGTACAGTAAACCCTTGTGTCACACATGTGAGACAACACACCAGTACAGTAAACCCTTGTGTCACACATGACAACACACCAGTACAGTAAACCCTTGTGTCACACATGACAACACACCAGTACAGTAAACCCTTGTGTCACACATGACAACACACCAGTACAGTAAACCTTTGTGTCACACATGTGAGACAACACACCAGTACAGTAAACCCTTGTGTCACATTTGACAACACACCAGTACAGTAAACCCTTGTGTCACACATGACAACACACCAGTACAGTAAACCCTTGTGTCACACATGACAACACACCAGTACAGTAAACCCTTGTGTCACACATGTGAGACAACACACCAGTACAGTAAACCCTTGTGTCACACATATGAGACAACACACCAGTACAGTAAACCCTTGTGTCACACATGACAACACACCAGTACAGTAAACCCTTGTGTCACACATGACAACACACCAGTACAGTAAACCCTTGTGTCACACATGACAACACACCAGTACAGTAAACCCTTGTGTCACACATGACAACACACCAGTACAGTAAACCCTTGTGTCACATTTGACAACACACCAGTACAGTAAACCCTTGTGTCACACATGACAACACACCAGTACAGTAAACCCTTGTGTCACACATGACAACACACCAGTACAGTAAACCTTTGTGTCACACATATGAGACAACACACCAGTACAGTAAACCCTTGTGTCACGCATGACAACACACCAGTACAGTAAACCCTTGTGTCACACATGTGAGACAACACACCAGTACAGTAAACCCTTGTGTCACACATGACAACACACCAGTACAGTAAACCCTTGTGTCACACATGACAACACACCAGTACAGTAAACCCTTGTGTCACACATGACAACACACCAGTACAGTAAACCCATGTGTCACACATGACAACACACCAGTACAGTAAACCCTTGTGTCACACATGTGAGACAACACACCAGTACAGTAAACCCTTGTGTCACACATGACAACACACCAGTACAGTAAACCCTTGTGTCACACATGTGAGACAACACACCAGTACAGTAAACCCTTGTGTCACACATGTGAGACAACACACCAGTACAGTAAACCCTTGTGTCACATATGACAACACACCAGTACAGTAAACCCTTGTGTCACACATGTGAGACAACACACCAGTACAGTAAACCCTTGTGTCACACATGACAACACACCAGTACAGTAAACTCTTGTGTCACACATGACAACACACCAGTACAGTAAACCCTTGTGTCACACATGACAACACACCAGTACAGTAAACCCTTGTGTCACACATGTGAGACAACACACCAGTACAGTAAACCCTTGTGTCACACATGACAACACCAGTACAGTAAACCCTTGTGTCACACATGACAACACACCAGTACAGTAAACCCTTGTGTCACACATGACAACACACCAGTACAGTAAACCTTTGTGTCACACATGACAACACACCAGTACAGTAAACCCTTGTGACACACATGACAACACACCAGTACAGTAAACCCTTGTGTCACACATGACAACACACCAGTATAGTAAACCCTTGTGACACACATGACAACACACCAGTACAGTAAACCCTTGTGTCACACATATGAGACAACACACCAGTACAGTAAACCCTTGTGTCACACATGACAACACACCAGTACAGTAAACCCTTGTGTCACACATGTGAGACAACACACCAGTACAGTAAACCCTTGTGTCACACATGTGAGACAACACACCAGTACAGTAAACCCTTGTGTCACATATGACAACACACCAGTACAGTAAACCCTTGTGTCACAAATGACAACACACCAGTACAGTAAACCCTTGTGTCACACATGTGAGACACACCTATTACAGTGACAGATGTAATACTCCACTTAGCTTTACTCTAGCCGTTAGGATTATACAAAACGTGAAACGTAAAAATCTGCATAAAAAACGCAAAAACAGGAAACATTAATCTGGATTGTAATTTAAATTTCAAGATAAGTGGTAAACGCTAGTTTTACATATTAGTACGTGAAGTCGCTTATTGTTGTGTGTTGATTAGGAAAGGTTACTATTATCTATGTCCAATAACTAGACTATCAAACGTCACCGCCCACACTAAAATATGTCAAAATGTGACATCTGCAATATTCTGAAGACCCGTTAATTCACGGGACAAAATTTTACAATAAAATTCCTTGATAACTCCAGCCCGTTCAAATACATATTGTAGACCCTACTCAAAACTAGACAACTTGAATAAGCAATGGCGGTTGGGCATAGTGCTGACCACACTATCCCATCATATACCGAGGTCACACAAACAGGTGAACTCTAGTTTACTTGTTCCATGGACCGTCAGTTTCGAAAAGAGAACTTTCCTTTATTAATCTCCCCCCCCCCTCCCCCCCACTATTTTTAACTGATGAAAACATTGTTTTGACAGTACATTTAACGATTTTTTTAAATCGCTTTGTTGAGCTACTGTGTGCAAATACCAGATGTTTACGGTAAACCGTGAACATACAAACTTCCTGTATGTTTTTCACTGGTTTCACGACCAGAATTCTAATAGCCGTCACTAGAGTTACACACCAATTACTTGGTGAAAAAAAACATCAGCTTACGCATGTATTTGTTGGCCAAAGATTCTGTACGTAATTATCGATGGATGGTGCTCAGCTGAGGATTGAGGGAGAATTTGCGGTGCTGATAATAGAGGGAGAAATTGTGTTTAAGGGTTGTCCAGAAATGACGTCACACCCTAGTGCAAGCGGGTTTAGGGCTTTTGTGACATCAGTCAAAAAGGGTCAAAATAAGGGTTGGCACTACTGACATATGAGGGTTGGCACTACTGACATACGAGGGTTGGCACTACTGACATACGAGGGTTGGCACTACTGACATATGAGGGTTGGCACTACTGACATACGAGGGTTGGCACTACTGACATATGAGGGTTGGCACTACTGACATATGAGGGTTGGCACTACTGACATATGAGGGTTGGCACTACTGACATACGAGGGTTGGCACTACTGACATATGAGGGTTGGCACTACTGACATATGAGGGTTGGCACTACTGACATATGAGGGTTGGCAGTACTGAAACATGAGGGTTGGCACTACTGACATATGAGGGTTGGCACTACTGACATATGAGGGTTGGCACTACTGACACATGAGGGTTGGCACTACTGACATATGAGGGTTGGCACTACTGACATATGAGGGTTGGCACTACTGACATATGAGGGTTGGCACTACTGACATACGAGGGTTGGCACTACTGACATATGAGGGTTGGCACTACTGGCATATGAGGGTTGGCACTACTGACATATGAGGGTTGGCACTACTGACATATGAGGGTTGGCACTACTGACATATGAGGGTTGGCAGTACTGAAACATGAGGGTTGGCACTACTGACATATGAGGGTTGGCACTACTGACATATGAGGGTTGGCACTACTGACATATGAGGGTTGGCACTACTGACATACGAGGGTTGGCACTACTGACATATGAGGGTTGGCACTACTGGCATATGAGGGTTGGCACTACTGACATATGAGGGTTGGCACTACTGACATATGAGGGTTGGCACTACTGACACATGAGGGTTGGCACTACTGACACATGAGGGTTGGCACTACTGACACATGAGGGTTGGCACTACTGACACATGAGGGTTGGCACTACTGACATATGAGGGTTGGCACTACTGACATATGAGGGTTGGCACTACTGACATATGAGGGTTGGCAGTACTGACATATGAGGGTTGGCACTACTGACATATGAGGGTTGGCAGTACTGAAACATGAGGGTTGGCACTACTGACATATGAGGGTTGGCACTACTGACATATGAGGGTTGGCACTACTGACATATGAGGTAAAGACTACTAATACTTCATTCCGCTTACCACTGACATATGTAAGACTATCACTAAAACAACAAACGCTGACAGCAAACTGACCAGAGTTTCTTCCGGAACCCCCCCCCCCCCCGAACGTATATAGAAAATATACTTTTATCAGTGTCCGCCCCCACCCCCCGGAAAATTTAGTCCCCCCACGCCACCGGAGAAAAAATTCTGAAAGAAACACGGTGACACCGCCCACCATGAACAATACACTGCCGGACGTTTGACCACTCAGGTTAATTTTATAAACAGCCGTGCCAGTCGGATGCCAGACAGGTAATTAAATCTCGCAGGCATCGAGATCCAGGTCGGCGTTACGTGGTGTAATCGATTACTGCTAAGACAGGTGTTTGACGTTAGATAATAGAATATAATCGACTACTGCCATGACAGGGATATTCGACGTTAGATAATTGGATGTAATCGATTACAACTATGACAGGTGTATTTGACGTTAGATAATAGAATGTAATCGACTACTCTGGCACGAATATTTGTGTCGTGTTAGATGATAGAATGTAATCGACAACAACAATGACAGGAAGAACATTTGCCAGGTATCGATTCTGTCTGCGAAACATCCTGTCTTGTTTATATTGTGGTTGTGATAGAAAAGTGCTTCCCCTGGGGGTAGGGGTTGGAGGAGGGGGGGGGGGAGTGCAAATACGTCCTCTTTGGGGTTTGAGGGTGGGGGGAGGGGTAGAAGGGAGCTATGGAGAGATTATTATTTCATAACATTGGCCTATTTCCTGACAATGGAAACATCTCGTAGCAGAAGCCACACACATACACACATACACACACACACACACACGATGCAGACAGAAACCCCTGGCAGCCACCGATAAGTGAAAACAGACAATTCTAAGACAGCCACACTGGCCAACAGACAACCCTAAAAGACAGCCACACTGGCCAACAGACAACCCTAAAAGACAGCCACACTGGCCAACAGACAACCCTAAAAGACAGCCACACTGGCCAACAGACAACCCTAAAAGACAGCCACACTTGCCAACCGACAACTCTAAAAGACAGCCACACTGGCCAACAGACAACTCTAAAAGACAGCCACACTGGCCAACAGACAACCCTAAAAGACAGCCACACTGGCCAACAGACAACCCTAAAAGACAGCCACACTGGCCAACAGACAATCCTAAAAGACAGCCACACTGGCCAACAGACAACCCTAAAAGACAGCCACACTGGCCAACAGACAACCCTAAAAGACAGCCACACTGGCCAACAGACAACCCTAAAAGACAGCCACACTGGCCAACAGACAACCCTAAAAGACAGCCACACTGGCCAACAGACAACCCTAAAAGACAGCCACACTGGCCAACAGACAACCCTAAAAGACAGCCACACTGGCCAACAGACAACCCTAAAAGACAGCCACACTGGCCAACAGACAACCCTAAAACAAGACAGCCACACTGGCAACAGACAACCCTAAAAGACAGCCACACTGGCCAACAGACAACCCTAAACCAAGACAGCCACACTGGCAACAGACAACCCTGACAGACACTTCTGGCCAACAGACCAGTCCGGCCACACTGGCCAACTGACCAGCCCGGACTGACCTGGTTTGATCGTATCACAACAAATGTCGCGAGTACATGAGCTGAAATCACACAGGGACTGAACTCGTGTTCACTGAATCTCCCCATATCACTCACAACACGGCTGAGCTCTGCTCAAGTCAGTAGTTGTTTTCTCTGTCATTGGTGATACAACGTGTCTATAACGTGTAGGACTCAAAGCGTGCTACAGACAGGTGTTCAATTAGCCTACTAGATAAACACCTGTCACCACATTTTGTGCCACTATATATGTAGATGTATTATACTAAGGGGAAAACGAATGAGAACATGGGTAGGGGAATTCAGTGTGATGATTTTTACCTAGTATGCACAGAGATGATGTACAGAAAGTGACCCCCTGGACAGAATGACCCTCTTCTACGTTATGTCCGCCCGGGACATAATGACCCAGAGGCGTAGCTACCCCTCCCGGCGCCCGGGGATACTTTCAATTTTGCGCCCCCCCCCCCTATATTTTTCTTATATTTGTAATTTAAAAAAAAAACCCAGCTAAAATGAGCTTATTTTGGCACCCCTAGGGTCGACGCCCGGGGACATATGTACCCCCCCGTCGCTACGCCTCTGTAATGACCCCTGGATAACGACCCCAGGACAGGAAGTCTACCTATGCTTGATGACCCCTGGAAGGAATGAACCTATTGCATAATCGCCCCCCCCCTCCCCCTCATTGTAAAATGAACCATGCAAGTAGAACGTCCCATCCTTTTCTGATGGGTACCTGACTCTAGTAGGGGATAGTAAAGGCGGCTTCAGATCAACTCTACCTCCTCTGTCCATACACCGTCTGGTCTGAAAAGTCGCTACATCTGACCCCATGTTCTCTCTGAGCTGCGCGGTTGCGCGGCCGCGCAGTAGTTCTGAACCCGCGCAGTCATTTTGTAAAATACAAATACCCTTGTATAAACCTTTTAGAACATCGCGCACACACAAATACACGTTGCACACTAGCTTTTCCCCCTTAGAGGAGCTGTTGCATCTGACCCCCTGAAGACGTGCTAACGCTCGGACTGTCCAGTTGACTAGTCAGGCCCCAGCTACCTGTCTTAGTACTTAAATCTCCTTGACCTTGACTTACTCACGTACTGCTCCCACCGCTATCAGCCAGTCACGTGACTACAGCACCCTGACACGTCAGCCCATGGCCTAACACGTACCGGACACGTCAAGTGCCACTAGACAGGCTGGACTCTGACCACTGCTGTGTTACCGTCCACAATCTGCTGTCCCCGTTTATCACAGTCGGCTTTAATCAAACGGGCACTGTTTACTCTTTAACCCAGGTTATGATGTTTTGCGTAATTTTAATTTCATGTTATCTTAGTGACCCCCTCCCCCTACCCCCCTCATTTTTTTTTTCATCGCCCTAATCATTTCATATTTCTATTGAACATTTCAGGCCGTGGCCAGGATTTCTCTGACGTTAGCGAAAATTATTTTTCTGTCCTGGCCTGTTTTGCAACCTGGCACATCCACTAGCGAAGGAGGGGGCGCGGGCTCCTGTCGGCCCGCCACTCCCGCCCCACGCACAGCTGACTGGCCCCAGTGCTATCGAATTGAGCGAGTGTGAGAGCGACGAGGGAAATCGGTTACCTGCCTCTTGTCTCGCCAACGGAAGTAGCAAAACTAACAACAACCGAATCGAAGCAGACGACCGCTTGGAGAGTAACTCACACACTATACCAGGCGTGGAGCACGTATTTTTCGAGAAGGAGTTAGAAAAAATGGAGCACCAGAGCCCGCAGACTCACATAGTGGTACTAGCCGTTGATAACAGTGTGCCCAGTGATCTTGCTTTCCAGTGTGAGTACACGTTTATTTGTTTAATGGCGGACTTTCTAAATTCTCCTTTCTAAAATAAATTTAAATTGATTTAATAATAAATTTTCGGAAAATGTTTGTCAGTTTGTCAGCTTGCTTAGTATGTAATAATATGTAATGTGGTAATATTAGTTTGTTAGTCAGTGTGTATGAACATAGATCTACAATAATTTAGATAACTAGTTGTATACAGTATACACTAAGACTAGATTTATACTAAACTTGTGTAGTGTACTCTTGATATTGTAGGCCCTATTCACTATTCCGATTCTAAATGCTACATCTAGATCTAGAATCCATATTTTTATCGATAAACTTTAAAAAAAAAAGCATGTAAAACACCCACACAGTTCTTAGTATGATTAGTCACATCATCGCCCAATTTAACTACAATATTATTTACACACGCAAATACACTGACACGGTCTGAGTGTTACGTGAGTGGCCTTGAACTTTGAACTTCCGGTAAACAGCGTGTGTTATTAAATTATTCAGTGTGAAAGTTTGCAGCCCCCGCCTTTTGCTTTTTTTCTCTATCGATTGCATGAGTTCTGTCACAACTTGCTCCCGACACGGTGTCTGATGCTGGAGGAGGGGGGGGGGGGGGTAAAGGGGTGGGAGGAATGTTGCACGCGATCGCTAGAAACCCGAACTGGGGAGCAGTCAGCCACAATAACACATCGATAGCTGGGTGTGTTCGTGTCGTTCTGCCTACACGTCTGTAGCCCACTACACGGGGTAGCTTCTTTACACTTCCTTAGCGTCCGCGTTAAACTGGTTACTTCTGTTTCACGACTTTTTAAAAAGTGTAGACGCCTTTCTAAGTGTTGTCTTGTGTGAAATCCGCTAATCAATATCACCAAGTGAGGTCACTCACCCGCGCTGACGGCTATACAAGTGTCAGGGTTTAACTGACGGGTTGGCGATCTGTGACTGACTGGGGTTGGCAGTCTGTGACTGACTGGTTATCAGGATTTACTTGGTCTCTTAAAGTGGTTTAGCAAGTTTACCTACCTGCCATTGAATACGTTGTACCATCAACTGTTTGCAACTTCCGAAAAGATTTCTGCGCCAAAGTTAGCTATGTCACCACGGTGATTTTATACAGGTCAATATTTGCCTCATTTGTCATGAATGTCATGGTCATAAGGGGCCGCGTCAACAAATGGTCCGCGTAGTTCTGATGAAGCGAGGGTATTGAACGTCTGGCCCGAGGGTATTAAACGTTAGCCCCGAGGGTATTGAACGTTAGCCCCGAGGGTATTGAACGTCAGCCCCGAGGGTATTGAACGTCAGCCCCGAGGGTATTGAACGTCAGGCCCGAGGGTATTGAACGTCTGCCCCGAGGGTACTTATTGAACGTCAGGCCCGAGGGTATTGAACGTCAGCCCCGAGGGTACTTATTGAACGTCAGCCCGAGGGTACTTATTGAACGTCAGGCCCGAGGGTATTGAACGTCTGCCCCGAGGGTATTGAACGTCAGGCCCGAGGGTATTGAACGTCTGCCCCGAGGGTATTGAACGTCTGCCCCGAGGGTATTGAACGTTAGCCCCGAGGGTATTGCATTCCATGTCAGGCCGTTACCATAGACGTGGAACTGCTCACCCGCACAACACAGCAATAGACCCGTGCTGATAGGTGAAACGCATTACCTGTGTATACCAGTGTAACATCGGGTAACGGGGAGAGGTGTCAATACAAATATAATGGACAATTGTAATCGTGTTAAAGCTCCTTGGGTATAAAAGGGAGGGGGGGGGAGATACCAGTTCCATTAAAAAAACATTGAATGGTACTTGCCAGGCTAACATTCTTGCATGAATTTCATAAGCTCCTTATCAAAGTACGTTTTAAGGTTTTCGTTAGGCTGAAAGCCGTTTTAGTTTTAGAACATGGTAAACCACTGTATAGTGATATTACTCTCTAGATAATGTTATAATAACTCCCAGTGAATAAGGATTCAAACTACGCATAGGAAAGTAATGTAGACATATTCGCGTAAAGAATCTGGATCTTGCTTAAAACAAACAGTGCTTTGTTGTCATTATCTACCTTTGCTTCTGAGGTTGTTAACATGTGTACAGCTCGATGTTTGTGGGATAACGGGACATTTATGTGAAGTGTTATGTGTGGGGGAGGTGTGGGCAGTGTTGTGTGGTGGGAGGTGTGGGCAGTGTTGTGTGGTGGGAGGTGTGGGCAGTGTGGTGTGGTGGGAGGTGTGTGTGTGAAATGTTGGATGTTCTGTAGCTTGCGTGGATCAGTTGTAGAACATCCAGAGCCTGCTGAGACCGGAGATGTTCCATAGAACAGATGAAAGATATACACGTCAGCTTATTGTCAGCTTACACGGGATGATGGAGGGCTCAGAGCTAGACTCACGCTGGTCGTCTATCTAGACTTTCTGCTGCGGTCATTTGTGGTCTAAGTTTATATGTTCTGCTGTGGTCATTTGTGGTAGTGTAAGTTTATACGTTCTGCTGCGGTCATTTGTGGTCTAAGTTTATATGTTCTGCTGTGGTCATTTGTGGTAGTGTAAGTTTATACGTTCTGCTGCGGTCATTTGTGGTAGTGTAGGTTTATACGTTCTGCTGCGGTCATTTGTTTGTGGTAGTGTAGGTTTATACGTTCTGCTGCGGTCATTTGTGGTAGTGTAAGTTTATACGTTCTGCTGCGGTCATTTGTTTGTGGTAGTGTAGGTTTATAATGTCTGCTGCGGTCATTTGTGTTAGTGTAAGTTTATACGTTCTGCTGCGGTCATTTGTTTGTGGTAGTGTAGGTTTATAATGACTGCTGCGGTCATTTGTGGTAGTGTAGGTTAATACGTTCTGCTGCGGTCATTTGTTTGTGGTAGTGTAGGTTTATACGCTCTGCTGCGGTCATTTGTGGTAGTGTAGGTTAATACGTTCTGCTGCGGTCATTTGTTTGTGGTAGTGTAGGTTTATACGTTCTGCTGTGGTCATTTGTGTGTGTAGGTTTATACGTTCTGCTGCGGTCATTTGTGGTAGTGTAGGTTTATACTTTCTGCTGCGGTCATTTGTGGTTGTGTAGGTTTATACGTTCTGCTGCGGTCATTTGTGGTAGTGTAGGTTTATACGTTCTGCTGTGGTCATTTGTGTGTGTAGGTTTATACGTTCTGCTGCGGTCATTTGTGGTAGTGTAGGTTTATACGTTCTGCTGCGGTCATTTGTGGTAGTGTAGGTTTATACGTTCTGCTGTGGTCATTTGTGTGTGTAGGTTTATACGTTCTGCTGCGGTCATTTGTGGTAGTGTAGGTTTATACTTTCTGCTGCGGTCATTTGTGGTAGTGTAGGTTTATACGTTCTGCTGCGGTCATTTGTGGTAGTGTAGGTTTATACGTTCTGCTGTGGTCATTTGTGTGTTTAGGTTTATGCGTTCTGCTGTGGTCATTTGTTTGTGGTAGTGTAGGTTTATACGTTCTGCTGTGGTCATTTGTGTGTATAGGTTTATACGTTCTGCTGCGGTCATTTGTGGTAGTGTAGGTTTATACGTTCTGCTGTGGTCATTTGTGTGTGTAGGTTTATGCGTTCTGCTGTGGTCATTTGTTTGTGGTAGTGTAGGTTTATACGTTCTGCTGTGGTCATTTGTGTGTGTAGGTTTATACGTTCTGCTGTGGTCATTTGTGTGTGTAGGTTTATACGTTCTGCTGCGGTCATTTGTGGTAGTATAGGTTTATACTTTCTGCTGCGGTCATTTGTGGTAATGTAGGTTTATACGTTCTGCTGCGGTCATTTGTGGTAGTGTAGGTTTATGCTTTTGCTGCGGTCATTTGTTGTAGTGCAAGTCTATACTTGTGCTGTCATTTGTGATAAAGTTGATACTTTCTGCTGCGGTTATATATGTGGTAGTTCAGCTTTGGTTTCTTACACTCGATACTGTCATCTGGTCTGAATGTTTTGTAACATGGCCACGGCTCAGCTAGGCTTCTGATATTATCGAGGGCGTGTAAAAAAAATGAAACCTTGCTAGTAACGTTAAGAAGCACGGGTACAAGGGGAGGGGAGGCGCTGAGTTTTGATTGACACATCTAGACCAGACGAGGGAAGTTGACATTTTTTTTCTCTGAACATTTTTGTTGTTGCCATGCTGGAAAACTAAACGGTGTGAACGGTTGCCATGGAAACCGTGTAAAATGGGCAGGTAATGACAGGCCAGAGTGCCGGTTGTTGAGAAATGTCGCTGATATTAGGATCGTTATAATGGGTGGGGGGGGGGGGGGGTGCAGAGGTTTTTGTATTGATTAAAATGTGCCGTGTATAGCTCGAGGTGTAAGCTTAGATCACATTTAGATTAACGGCTCAAGATTTAGGTGAACGTCTGCCAATGCCCCTAGGTCTCGTCTGCCGATATTTACATTGAAACTTTACATTAACACCGGCAAATAACCTAGAAATAAAAAATGTGGCCATTCTGTGTTACCAATTGGGGGAAAAAGTCTCGCTATAAAAAGTACTTATTCAAGAACTAAAATTCTACAGACCAGACGAAGTAGAGTCGATGTGTTTCTTGACCTCGGCATATGGTGTGGTCAGCACTTCACACAGCCGCCTTTCGCTTCCCTAACATGTAACATCACAGGTAGAGCTGGGTGGACTCAGCGACATCCTTACAGTCTCGAGTCTGTACCGAGATCCGAACTCTAGCCCTTCTGACTAGTGGTAAGACTACGAGGATGTCGGTAAATGGATGTGGTTGATGGGTACCCATCCCCGCCCCTACCGACACACCCACAGCAGTGGAATGTACCATGGACAACAGACATTTATGTACTGAAGTGCACTAGATGATGTATATAACACTAGATGTGTATAACAATTGAGTGCACTATATGTGTATAACAATTTAGTGTACTATATGTGTATAACAATTAAGTGCACTAGTTGTGTATAAGAATTTAGTGCAAGTCAGTGGTGTTAAACACCCTACACCCACGCATCAATAAATGGTGAAATATTCCGCAGAAA